TCAATAAATGATTAAGTATTAATTTTTGTATTGAATTGTGAAATTTTCTATTGAAAGTTTTGAAAGACTATTTTTTTTATTCTTCACTAATTTGTTGAGGTTAATTTTTGTTTTAAAATTTGATGAAATTTTGGTTTAACATGGTTATTGCTCTTTGAGTGCATATTATTGTTGTGAGTATCATTTTACAACTTTCATCATGTATACTTAGATATCAATGTGAAATGCCACTAATATTTCATCAAATTTTAAAAATAAAACTTAATTTTAATAAATTAATGAATTATAAAAAAAATGGTCTTATTGAATGAGATAGGTTGACACTTTTTAAAAAAGGGAAATGTTCATGCATAAAACAAATTATTATGTATGTCATTACATACTTATGGAGCTAGATAAATTCTAGTCAAATCAATGAGGAGTATAAGAATGACATTAAAGAAATTATAAAGTTTGCTCAACAGTATGAAGTTGTAGATAATAATAGAAAATTTCATTATCCATGTTTAATTGTTTGAATGGACGACAACTACAAATTGAATTGATATGAGAGTATCTTCTCTATGTTGGTTTTTTATGAAGTTATACAACTAGACTTGACATATGGTGAATTACTAAATATTTCACGTATGTAATTGTTTCAGTATTCTAATATGGACATTGATGATCAACTAAAAAGACATGATTCATGAGGTTGTATATAACCTTGAAAATTAATTTAAAGATGTCTTTGTATACGGTTTGTACGCATTTCACACATTTGTCAACATTATTAAGATTGATCAATATTTAGGAAAGAAATTGGTGAACTGATAAAATTTTTACTGAATTACTTGAATTGTTGAATGAAATGTTACCAAAAGGTAATATACTACCCACTTGTCCTTCTGAAGCAAAAAAAAATCTTGTGTCCAATGGGGTTTCAAATATAAAAAAATATATGTTTGTCCTAATAATTACAAATTATATAGAAGAGGAACGAAGCATTACATAACTATCTAAGGTGTATAAGAACATTTCAACATATCCATAATAAAAAAAAGTAATGTTATTATTATGTAACTTATTCATTATTTTTTATTATTTATATTTAAATGCAATAAAAACTTATATTTTACAAGACATGTTGATGATTCGGGAAGAAAGGCTGAAGAGGTTATATAATTGCGATATTTTCCTATTAGATGTTTGTTTAATGTAAAGTTCCATGTGACATCGATCCTTATACACAATTAGTTTATAACTCAATTATGTACAATTTGTGAGTTAATTGGGTGTCTTAATTTGATCTAAGGTTTCTATTTTGATTTTTTACTAGGATTGTGTTCCACAATCAGAGAAAAAATTGATTTGGCAAGATACTTTGGTATGTTAATTACCATTTGCTTATATTTTATATATATAATTGTTCAATTTTAATTATTTATTATTTGTTGTTATCATTTTCTTAAACAAAATTTGACTTTGAGACTTCTGAATACATATAAGTATATATTTAAAAAATATAAAGATAAATCTTCATGTAAGAAATATCATATAGATGTAAGTCGAAATGATGAATCATGACAAATTTATTTATGTTATTTAATAAATGGAATACATATACCTAGTGCTTTTAAAAGTCAATTGAATTGCATTTTATTATTTATTATTTATTATTTATTCACAAGAAAAATAGAAAGAAAGCTCAAGAAATCCAACAAAAAAATATTACATCTCACAAATTACCTTGAGGGGCTATGACTTGTTGAAAAGAAGATCATGTTCGAGAAGACCAAGAGGATAAAAGAATCCTCCTCGGATGGAGGAGTTGTGTCTACTTCATCCTCTCTTATATGACATGAGAAGTAAAAGATGACTCATACTAAACCATCATGTCAAATGACATTTGAGATATCTAGAGATATTACAAATCGAATTATAAGTTTATGGAAGAAAAACAAGACATTTTTCATTTAATATAACTTTGTAAATGACATTGTCACTAACTTTTGTCATAGTTTTTGTTTACAAAACATGTTGCTTGAGTAGAGATCTTATATACTTTTGCCTCCCATGAGTGTTACGATATTTTGACTACTATTATTAGCACTTTAGAAAATTCTAGTTATGTGTATTTTGTTGGATTTGGTGTAAGCATATGTTAGTGTTTTGGAGTACCTCCTTACACTAGCCATTACGAAGGACCTATAAGTCGATATATAGGTGATAGAGTAAGTAACAATGACCCTAACATAGAGATTAACATAAAAAGTAGAAAGACAATGAAGAAACACACTTGTAGATAAATAAAGGCGTGAATTTGAAGAATTAATGTAGTAAAGAGACATAGCACATTGGTTGTGACCAAAATCGATGCGGTATGTAGGTATATAGCATTAGTTAAGGCTACAATCAATTTATATCTCCATGTACCATATTGTTTATGGTCATAAATGATGTGTTCCGTGCCTTCTTTGTAACTATTTTGGTTCAATAGCATTCTAAATCGGTTTCTTATACAACCATTGTGATATATGAATTATCGATATTGATTGTGCAACTGACATAAAAGACCCAAAATAACCGATCATAATTACGATGTTCTCACTAGTGTCAACTTCACAAGAAATTCTAGATATTGTATTTTATTTCTTAAACTTCCAAGAGTGAAAAACTAAGATATAAAAAATTGACTTGTAAGGTGAGATTGTCTCACCAAGATATACATGATATCTTATGGTTGATCTTGTAGTTTCTAAACATAAAGTTGAATCATTCTCAGTATATGTCTTTACATGAAGTGAAGAATCACATAGAAAAAATAAGCCAAGAGTTTGAGAATTTTTTGTATAGCAAAAAATCTTCAAAGTTGCATCATAATTATCTATTATTAACTTGAAGAGGAAATATGCTAATTAGTGTAATGGGAATGTGACATATGATCATGTATTTTTGAGTTACATGAGATGTTTTATAAGGTTTCCATAAGTAAGAATATTAAAAAAAGATTAATTTATATCAAATGACAATTTCTTTATATTTTTTAATAGGAGTATATACTAGTTTACATCTTAAAAGACCTATTTCAGTTAATAGTTCCAATATATACTTTGGTTGATTTATCATTATTTCAATTTTTTTACTTAAAAACCAATAAAATATTTCAATTTCTATAAATTGTTTATACAAAAGGAAGCATTAAGAGTATGTTTAATAATGATATTCTTTATCATTTCTAATAAAAATAACATTATTTACATACAACATGTGAGTTGTGAAAGAGTTATAAGAAGACTTGATAAATAGTGAATATTCATTCATAGAATGAACATATTAATCATTAATAAGAAATAATAATAACTTAACAATCTATTGTCTACTTGCTTGTTTAAGATCATATAATTTCTTTGAAGTTTACATATTCTTCTTGATAAAGTAAAAGTTAGATCAAGAGAAACTATTATGTAGATTTCTTCTTTTAATTTTCTACGAAGAATACATTGCTAACAACGAATTGTTGTAGCTCCCAAATAAAATAAAGGCAAGAGATAAGATTAACCTTACACAGATTATTTTGACGACAAAAAAAAAAAAGAAGTTTAGATAATCAATACTAATCATTATTCTCAATTTGAGTGTATCATTTTATGTCTTCCAACAATTTCATCCGTCTAATATTTAATTTTAAATACAGATTTTGGAGGTTGATGGGTGGGTGCATGTGTGACTCTATGTGTACGTGTGTGTCTATATATATATATATATATATATATATATATATATATATATATATATATATATATATATATATATATATGCATGAATGTTTGTGTGTGTGCATGAGAGTATATGCATGTTCTTGTGTGTGTACATGTATGTGTATTTGTGTGTGTACATATATGTGTATGAGTACATGTATTTGTGTGCTTTAATTATATAGTATTTCTTTGAATTCAATTTCAATTCAATGTAGGTGTCTTCAAATGTATAATTAAATATTCTTGATATTTTGAAATATGCATCCATGTAAAATTCTTTGGAGTACTGGCTTACCGCAATTATTTTTAATATATTATGTTGATTGTTATCTAGAGGGTTACATGCTTTAATTGTTTTTTTGGGAAGTATACCATTTCCTTTTTAGAAGAAATATCTAGTCAACATAAATTAGAAATAGATATATATAGAGATGAAAAAAATTCACTTACTAATAAGAATTTAAAAAAATTATTTTTATTTTTATTAGTTATTATTTGATAATCAAATATATATATATATATATAATATTGTTAATTCGATGAAAATCTAATTAATAAGCAAATGTTATAATTAATATTAATTATGATTATTAAAAATTAATATTACTTTTATTTTTCTTTCTATTTTCTATCATATCATTTATTTTAATTTTTATTCTTTTTTATTTTATTTTTATACTTTTCCTTTCTGTTTATATGTATACATAACTAAAAATAGAGTTTTGGATGACTTATATACGTATTACGTGTGAATTTTCCCTGATTAAAAGCATATATATATATATATATATATATTACATTTCTAACTGTGTAAGGAGAAATATATAGAATATATATTCTTAGAAAATATAAAAAAAAAACTATATTATTTAATACAAAAGTAACTTTTTTAATATTAAAATTAACATTATTTTAAATTTCAAAAATTATAAAAACAAATAAATGTCACGAAACCCCTTTTATATATAATTATAATATTTTAAAAATATGTTCCCTGTAATTTGATTCGCGACACATATGTTCATCCCTTCTTGTCTGTAATGAGAAATATTGGAGTTAGCAGGTCCATCACAAGATAACCCACATTTCTTCAATTTCGCATGAAAAGATGGGCTCCATTTCTTAAACATCGGTTGGTCAGTTATAAATTCACTTCCCAGCCCCTCCTTTTCCATTCTCACACTCACACTCACACCCTCTTCAACTCTTTTTCTTTCTTCTCTGCTTTTTCTTTACTTTTCTCCTTTTTCTATCAGATTCATGGCCCTAACCTCTGCACTCTTTCACCTTCTCCCCTTTCTATTATTAGGTAAGCAACCATTCGCTTATTTTAATACTTGATATAGCATTCATGTGTCTATGTATGTGCTAATTTTTAAAATTTCTACTCCTACTAAGCATCTTCATTAGATTGCCTATATTAGGTTTTGAAAATCACTTTGCAACCTTCATTGTAGCCACTGTGATTACAATTGTAAGGGTGACAACAACTTTCATCAGTAAGATTGGTAAGATATCTCAGGAATCATGACAAAATTGTTACTACAATGTGTATCAGAAAATGTCTATGAAAAAAAAAATGTATGGAAAATCTGATTATGTTAACTCAAAATGTAGAAAGATGAGACATGGATTCATATCCAAACAGACAGTTAGTGTTTTGATTCTCAATTCAAGGGATATCATGGATTCATAAAAAAAAAAAAAATAAATACAATTTAAAATTGCTATATAAAGGTTTTATTGTGCTGTAATGGGCAAAACATTTTGGATTTTATAAAAATTTGTAATTAATGCCTGAATTATGCATTTTCAGGTAACAGAGCATCTGCCACAGTCTTTTCTCTGGAGAATCATTGTAGTCACACAGTTTGGCCCGGGATACTTTCCGGCAACGGCGCCACCATTCTCGGCGACGGCGGCTTTCCCCTGCCGCCCGGATCGTCGGTCCACCTTTCCGCACCGTCCGGTTGGTCTGGCCGGTTCTGGGCCCGGACCGACTGCTCCTTTGACGACTCCGGCTCCGGAAAATGCTCCACCGGGGACTGTGCCGGAGGCCTGAAATGCACTGGCGGAGGAGTCCCGCCGGTGACGCTGGTGGAGTTCACGATCGGAACCTCTGGCAACGGCAACAAGGACTTCTACGACGTGAGTCTCGTGGACGGTTACAACGTGGGAATGGGAGTGCGGGCGACCGGCGGAACCGGTGACTGCCAGTACGCGGGGTGCGTGGCGGACCTGAACGGCGAGTGTCCCACGGAGCTTCAGGTGAAAGACGGAGGTGGCACGGTGGTGGCGTGCAAGAGTGCGTGCACCGCGTTTAACACGGCGGAGTTTTGTTGCACCGGCGAGCACGGGACGCCGCAAACATGTTTGCCGACACAGTATTCGGAGATTTTCAAGAGTGCGTGTCCAACAGCGTACAGTTACGCGTACGATGATGCTTCCAGCACTTGCACCTGTTCTGGATCTGATTATGTTATCACTTTCTGTTCCACGGGATCATCATCGTAATAATCATTAAACATCGCAAATATCCTATTGCTGCTATAGGATTATATTATATACTCGGATTATATGATCACATCTTCACTAACAAGACACTGCATCATGATTCATTTTTTATTTATTATTACTTTTTTTTACACCAAACTATATTATTTTTGTCTTTGTCTTTGTCTTTATCCTTTTTTTTTTTTGGTAATAAGCTTGTATTTTATGTTTATCTGCTTTCTCTTTTCTTTTCTGAACGTTAAATTTGAAAAAAATATCATGGTGTACATACTTTGTATAACGTATCATTAATGTTTTATCTTAAACTATTTTTGTATGAAATACTTCCTCTACGAGTAAAATTAGTTAATACGTTTAAACTTAATTAAGGATAGTACAAATTTACAAAGTTATAAGTAATTTAAAACTATCATTCTTATAGTTATATCATATTTTAAGAAATATATCAAAAAGAATTAAAAACATATTATAATCAAAATTTGTGATTTATATTAAATTTGAATCAACTAGAAAGGTTTAAAATATATAATTATTTATCTTAATTTCAAAAATAACCTAAAAGAGAGTTTATTTACTAATGTTTTTAAAATTGGATTGTTCAGATTGAAGATACGGATTCAAGATTTAAAGTCCGAATTTAATAAAATAATAAATATAAAATATATTAAAAAATAAAAATAATAGTTGTTAAAATAAAATAAAAATATAATAAAATAACTATTATTTGAATTTGACATAATTAATATGAGATAAAAAAAATTAAAATATATTATATCTTTTTATAAAAAAAATTGATGATCAATATATTTTTTACCAAAATTGGTTTTATCCTAATTTAATTAAAGTCTAATTATTTGAAAGCAACGTTCTGATTTTTAGTCTATTGGTTTCGGTCCGATTTTTAAAATAGTGGTATTTAGCAAAAAAAATAATTAAGTAAGATCTCTCTTGTAGATAATTATTTTTATTGGTTGATTTACATTTAGTGGAAAAAAAAATTGCGTCATGGGATTAGGGGTTTTGATATTTTATCTTGTTCATATTTTTTATGAACAAGTACTTTTATGTTTTGCTTTAAAAAAATTTATTCTTCTCAATTTATGACACTAATGTATTAAAAAAAATGTTTATTTTCTCTATTTTAGCTTGCAAATTTTGCAAGTTTGGTGATGATCTATAGAATGATCAAATCAAATTTTTTTAGTGTATGAAAGTTTTAAATTAGTCATAAAATTTAAATAAATTAAAATAAAGTTTTTAAAAATAATTTGAATTTTCATATAATTTTTTATTTCAAATAATTTCTTATAAGTTATTATCAAAATAAATGTGATGTAGTATATATATAAAAGTACTTGCATTTCAATTATTAGGTGGAAGAATCTATTTGAAATAAAAATACAATATGGAAAAGTATTATTTTTAAGAATTATTTATGTATTTTTTTAATATATAAGGACTAACTGAAAAATAAAATAATTTAAAAAAATAAAATCATTCAACCTATTCTTATACAAACTTTTCTAATTTATTGTGGAGAATTAAATAAATATTGAGTAGAATGCACATTCCAAAGTAGATAAAAATTATAAAAATATATAAATAATTCCAAAGCACTTTCTTATTTTAATTCATACGGTTAAAATTTAAAGAAGCAACGTTAAAAGGTGATTCGAATAGAAGAAATTAGCAAATAATATGAGCCCAATGACTAATACATTTTTCTCATATCGGTGTTGTTATAGTAAAGAAAAATTATATATTTTTGTTTGATTTTATTTTTATCATATATGACATTTGGATTGGATCTATATAATATTTATTACTAAATTTAAGACATTCAAAATGTTAATAAATACTCTTTAATTCATAAATAGTTGATGCTAAAATATAAATTCAAAAGAAAGACTAAGAAAGTCTTATCAATCTAAGTATTTATAACACTCAATTTGACGTATTAAAACAAGAAAAACTATTAAAAATAAAAAATATTCAGTATCTTATTTTAAATAAAACTATGATTTCTAAATAAAAATATAAAACAGAAATTATCTATATAAGATAGTAGAATTTCATAATTTCACAACAACAATAAAAATTAATAAAAGAAGTAATAAAGAGAATTTATAATTTTTGATTGGTTAGTTATTTATAAAGCAGCAGGTACTTGAGTTGGCAAGACCCATGACAAGATAACCCACAACATTAATATCTGACAGAAAGAGTGTGCCCAATTCTTAACTACCACTTTCTAACCACTTCAAGAAGAAGAGAGTTTCCAAATATAAATTCACTTTCATGCATCCCCGTTTTCCATTCTCACTTCAACACTTTGTTGCTTTCCTCTCAACTTGTTCTTTTTTCTATGAAAATGATGGCCCTAAACCCGTACTCAAAACCCTTTGCACTTATTAACTTCCTCCTCTTCTTATTAGGTAAACCACTATCTCTTATGCACATGCATACACTTCCATGTATACCATAGAAACGCATATATATTTTTTCATACTTGTAGTTGCTATGTTCAAGATTTAGACAAATGCATTCATATTGTCTTGTTAATTAATAAGAATTATTACAATGTAGTGTGCCAAAACACTTAATGCATTTTTAATCAAGTCATATTAATTTTAAGTATTTACGGGTTACGCTAATGATTATTATTTGTTGAGAAACCTAGCTAATCAATTCATCTGCAAAATTTGATTTCAAAACTTTAGTTAGAGGATGATATTTTCACATTATAAAAAAATCAAAATAACCATTCAACAACCCATTTTTTATTTTTATATTATTATTTATCTATTTTAGTTTATTCTCTCTTCATCAATAAAAAAAATAATATTTTAAAATGATTAATAAAATATTTGTAAAAATGGGTTATTAAACAATCTTTTCCCCTTCCATTAAGGATACATAACAAATTTGTCATTGTGAAATAAAATTTTACTTAATTTTATAATAATCAGTTTAAAAGTCAATCCATAGTTAAATATACGTAATTAATTATGTGTAATTAATTAAAAATTATAATGATTGAATTAAATTCTTATAATTAAACTTTAAAAGCTTAATTGAGTACTGATTGCATTTTAGATTTAATTTTAGTTTAGAATTTGGCATTTTGAAATAGATTCTCACATAGTCGTATTTAAATCGTGTGTGTCATTTGATTGACTTTTTTTTTTAACATTGATATAATAAAAGCTATACTGTTTTGACTTTAATTAATATAACCAAAATAAATTACAATATACGTCAAATTGATATGCAAGTAAATCTAACTAATTTTATTATTAAAATATTTTTTATTTTAAGATTAATTATTATTTTCTATATATTTCAGTTTAGAAAGTGTTAATTAAGATATCTAATTAATTTTACGATTTATAGAGTAAATTGACAATTTATTACTTCTACCATTAGTATGTGAATTTACACATGAATATAATTTTTCAGGTAATGTAGCATCTGCCACAGTGTTTACCCTCCAAAACCGTTGCAGTTACACAGTTTGGCCGGGGACACTTTCCGGCAACGGCGCCACTCTCGGCGACGGCGGTTTCCCCCTTGCGCCAGGTAAGTCAGTTCAACTCACCGCCCCGTCCGGCTGGTCCGGCCGGATCTGGGCCCGGACCGGCTGCAGCTTCGACGGATCCGGTATCGGAACATGCGACACAGGAGACTGCGCCGGCGGAGTGAGATGTATCGGAGGAGGCGTTCCGCCGGCGACTCTGGCGGAGTTCACCGTCGGATCCGCCAGTAACGGCGACAAGGACTTCTACGACGTGAGTCTCGTGGATGGTTACAATGTAGGCATCGGCGTGCTGGCTACCGGAGGAACAGGTGACTGCCAGTACGCAGGGTGCGCGGCGGATTTGAACGCCGTATGTCCGGAGGAGCTGCAGGTGAGAAACGGCGACGGCGCGGTGGTGGCGTGCAGGAGCGCGTGCGCCGCGTTTAACACGGCGGAGTTTTGCTGCACCGGCGAGCACGGGACACCGCAAACGTGTTCGCCGACACGTTATTCGGAGATTTTCAAGAATACGTGTCCAACAGCGTACAGTTACGCTTACGATGACGCTTCCAGCACTTGCACCTGTTCTGGATCTGATTATGTTATCTCTTTTTGTCCTTGACAGTTCTACACCTACTTCTTGTAATAAGTTAATAATCTCCCACTCAAAAATATCTGTGCGCATCAAGAAATGTTATTTATTCAATACATATAGAGAGAAAGAAGGGAAAGATGTAAGAGAGAATAAGTGTTAGTGAACGAAGTCTTTGATACTAAAAATGTCGTCAAATGCTATAATACATGTTCAGCATCCAAACATCCACGCAACAACCATTATTTTTATTTTGTATTTTTATTGAAAAATATGTACGTCGACATCTGATTGTTGAAGCATGTAAGAAAATATACCAAGTATTGAAATTTTATAACTACTATAATCAAGTCTTAACTCAATATTCGGAAACTAATAAAACAATAAAGTAATTGACTCTATGATAAATTGGATTAAATGAAGCTGTCAGAGGAGAGTGGAGATAGGAGAAGAAGAGGAGAGAGGAAGAACAAATATAATCTAAAGTCTATAATCAAGATAAATATCTCAACATTGAAGAAGTAATAAAATTAATTGAATTTTTAAATTATACCTTAATTTGGTAGAATAAGTATTAAAGGAAGAGAGTTAAAAATAAAGAATCACGTGGACTCTTGCATTAAAATGAAAAAAACTTATGAAAAAGGTATATGTTCTAGCAAATTATAATAGGAATTTGTAACTCAAAAGAGAAAAAAAAAAAAAAAAAAGTGAAACACATGAGAGAAAAAAAGAACGAGACACTTGAGGGAAAACACCTTTGTTTAGCTAGGTAAGGGGAGATATCGAGGATGTTTTATGCAAGACTGCAATCTCTCTACTTATTGTTTTGTCAAAGTTAGATTTTACCTGCTAACTAATTTGATAAGTTTGAACTGTCTTTTTTATCGAGTATTTTTTTTCAAGGTTACCAAGATGTTTTTCCTGCTCGAGTATACCAAGTGGTTTACCAATTATTAGGGGAATTGAGTATCAAATTGATCTCATTCCAAGAGGTTATTTGTCCAACCAATTTTGATGGGAAAAATGTCATGAAGAACATGACCGTCTTTATCCTCGAGAATTACACTACTAATAGAGAAATAGGAGAAAAATAATCAATACAAGAATATGACATGGAAACTCTAAAATCGGAGATAAATCATAATCGTTATCTAATGATAACCAGAGAATAATAATATGTAAAAATTTTTACAACACATAAACTACTCTCTCATGCCCTTTGACCTCAAATACAACCACACTCTCTAAAGAATTTAAACTAAATTTCACAATACTCTAATACAAGATTATAAGAAAAGTCAAATACATGCTTAAAGTGTTTTTTACTAGGGTGTCAAAACATCATGGACTTTGAGTCTATTACATAGTTACTATTACTCACTTTATAGTTTATCCTAGATGATGTGAGACTTTTCAAGATGTATTATTTTCATCAATCCAATAAATTTGCATATAGGAGCAACCCATAAGAGACAAAGAAAATTGAAAATGAAGTGACAGAACTCATAAGCAAAGACCTCTCATTCTAATGCCAAAGAAGAATGACTCATGGAAGATGTGTTTTGATTGTAGAGCCATAAACAATATCATTATCAAGTATAGGCACACAATTCTCAAGTTAGTTTATTTTCTTGATGATTTGTATGGTGCATGTGTGTTTTCTAAAATTTATCTGAAAAGTGTCTATAATCATATTAGGATTAGAGAAGGTGATGAATGAAAAATGGTCTTTAAAACACAATATGGTTTGTAAGAGTGGTATTTGGTTTGACTAATACGTCAAGTACTTTCATGAGAAATTGATGAACCATGTTTTAAGAAGATTTATTAGCAAGTATATTGTGGTGTACTTTGATGACATTCTTATCTTTAACACTTGTCTTGTATGTTGCGCATTTGCAATCAATTTTGAATGTGCTTAGGAAAGAACAATTGTATGTCAATATGAAAAAATGCATTTTTTGTACAAATCATGTGGTATTTATTGGATTTTTTGTTAGTACTAAGGGAGTACAAGTAAATATAAAAAAGGTTAAGGTCATCCAAGAATGACCAACACCTAAAACAATGAGTGAGGTGAGAGTATTTCATGGTTTAACAAGTTTTTATAGAAGATTTATTAAAGATTTTAGTACCTTGGTTGCACTTCGATACGAAGTTGTTAAAGAAAATGTGGGTTTCAAATGGGGTAAGAAACAAGAAGTCTTTGTTGCCCTTAAGTATAGGTTATAACTAATGCACTCATTCTTGCTATACCTAATTTTGCAAAATCTTTTGAAATTGAATGTGATGCATCCAATGTGGGTACTTGAGCTATTTTTTTGTAGGAAGGACATCCAATTGCTTCTTTTAGTCAAAAGTTAAGTGGAATTGTTCTTAACTATTCAACTTATGATAATGAATTGTATGCATTGATTGAAACTGTTTAATAGTTTGCTAAAGAAGGAGTGGACATAGCTTAGGTTGAGCTAATCAATATAAAAATCAAGTGTTTTTGTTTGCACTCTTATTTCTTTTCTTAATTTATATTTTCAATATTTGTTCATTCCAAATAGTGATGAATTTTCTTATGAACGGAAAGGAGTCATGATCTCTCAAAGTTTTATAACTTTTATATGTATTTATGATTTTGTCCCTCTAACTTAATGATCATCAAATATTTTTGTTTGTACATTTACAAGTTTATCTTCTCACCCTTTCATCTTTTATTTTTTATATTTATTTATTATTTATTAATAATATACTATTTGAACCCAAAATTAATAAATAAGATCTACCACTAAATGACCAATATAAATGAGAGGCTATAATTAGATTTCTAATTCTACATTTCAATACTTTCAAGGATACTAAACAAAAATTAATATTCTATTTTAAGGACGAGAAAGATATTCATTCTAAATTTCACTTAATTCTCTATAATATAAGATGGTAGTCATATCCCTGTCACAAGAAATTAAAAATAATAATGTCACGATTGTTAATTAACATAATTAGTTAACATTTTTCATTCATATAACTAATATGAATGATGAATTTTAAATTTAGGTATTAATTTTACATTTTTAATATTTTAATATTTTAATGATTAAATAGAAACTTTTCAAGACTAAAAAAATACTCAATCTTATATCTATTCAAGTAACTAATTAACAATTTAATTATTTTAAGTAAAAATTATTAAATTTATTTTTATAAGTATAATATTTATAATTTTATCTCTTACATATTTTTAATTTAACTTTAATATATTTAACACTTTATTCATTTTATCTTCATAACTGAAAATATACATTCTTAATTTTTATTTTTTTAAAACATGTATGGATTAAATTAAGATACACTACACATAGAATAACCAAATTAAGAATTTACTAAAATTATTTTTTTAGAGAAATGTCCACATTTATAAGAACCAAATTAAATGTGTGTTGTATGCATAAAGACAAAAAAAAGGCGTAATTATGATAAAGGAAAATGTTAAAAGGAAAAACAAACTTTGTTTGAAAAAATATTTTCTAAAAATATATTTTTAACCAAATATGTGGAAGAAAAAGAATGGACGATATTAAGGGTTCGTTTGATTTAGTTTTACCTTTTAATTTTTAAAGATTAATTTTGAAAAAGTTTTTTTGAAATAAGTTGACAAAAATTTTGTTTAATAACTATATATTTTAAAACTAATTATTTTAGATAAAAGATAATGACATAAATTATTATGAAAAATCATGAAAAAAGTTGAAAAATAATTTTTATAACTTCATGATTATGAAAATGATTGATTTAATGTAATTATTAATGAAAATGATGATACGTATTAATAAAAACATATTTTATCAGTTTCGATTTTTTATTTTTTAAAACTAAAGAACATAAACAGTTTTTTTTTAAATTAACAAACCAATTATCTATGGGTTTTCATGATTTAACTTTGTTTTTTTAGTTTTTAAAAATTACTTTAGATGTTAATTTTGAAAAATTGTTTTTAAAAATAAGTTAAAAAAAACTTATTTGATAATTCTATTCTTAAAAATTATTTTAAACAATAGAGCATGATAAATTAGCATAAAAAGTCATTTCAAAATTAGAAAAATGGTTTTGTAGTTTTATAATAATAACAATGAGTAATTTAATGTAATTATTGAGTAAAATATCAATATTCATTGATGAAAATAAAAAATACATTTTAACAGTTTTGATTTTTTTTAGATTTTAAAAACTAAAAAACGAAAACAATTTTTAATAACTATTTTAACAAAACGGTTACTCTAATTTAAAAAAAAAACTGGAAATTTTATTTTTTAGTTTTTAAAAATTAAAAAATTTAAAATTATTTTTAAAATAAATAAACAAACAAGTCCGAAATTTTTTAATTTTTAAAAACTAAAAAGGCAAAGTCTAAAATAGAGAAAACTATTTACTTTAATTAACAAAAAATTAAATTAAATTTTAATTAAGTATTTATGATAGTAAAAGCATTATCACAAGGTTGGAGGGGTGAAAACATGAGGTAGTGCAAAAAGATAGTTTCGAAAAAGATGAGAAAATTAAGGACAGATATGAAGAAAAAGAAATAATATAGGAGTGTATTTAGGGAAAAAAAAAAGAGGTGTGTAAATAGCACGAGCATGTGTGTATTTTTTTATTATTATTTGCTATCTCAAGCTATGATTTCCTCTTATGATTTGAGATGTTATGTTTAAATTTAAATTATAATAATTTAAGTTATATAAATGAATATTCAATGCTATATTTAGTGCTTAAAAGGGCCGAGAGGTACACATTAATGCTTTATTTGAATGGAAGAATAAAAGAACAGAAAAAAATGAAAAACAAAATTGTTTATGTTAAGAAAAAGACGGTGAAAAAATAAAAATAATATAATTTTTTATTAATAAATTCATTTATTATTACTTTAATACTAACTTTTAATGATTATTTAGTTATTTATTATTATTATTATTTAAAAATATAAAAAGGACAAAAGAAATATCACCTATAAATCAATTATAATCAAATTATTTCTTTTTTTTATTACTACCAAATTCATGTTTCTTTCTAGTGTTTCTCAACACTAAAAATTATTAAAGACATCTTCAATAATATGAATTGTTTTTTATCTAAAAAAATTATGATGTAAAATCATTTTTAAATAACGTATTATTGATTTTACTTTATTAAAAAATTTATTAATAAATCTTAAAATATTCATTCCTTCTTATTATTTATTTTAATTTGCTTATTTTAAATTCTTATCATTCTAGATAGAATTCCTCTAATAAAAAAAATCAGCACGAGAGAGATGCTGTAATAATCTTTCTCTATTTTCTCTCAAATTCAAATGAACAACTATCTAGAGAATATATGTTCCCTCATTTCTATATTTATTAACCGTAGACGTCAGGGAATCAAACTAGCATTAAGTGTTTGATTGGATAGAAGAAGGGATATGAGAAAGTGAAAAAAAAAATGAAAGATAATAAAAATAAAATTATTTAGATTAAAAAACGAATAAATATATATAAAATAAAATAAATATATTTAGATTTAATTATTTATTATTATAATAAAATAAAATAAATCATAAGATATAATCGATCTTATAAGATAAAATATTAATATTTTATCTCAAATAATAATAATAATAATAATAATAATATAATTTATCTTTAATTTCATACTTTGTTCACAAATCACAAATAGTCTCTTTCTCTTTTTTCTCAAATCTGTCGTAGGATTCAAAAGTTAACTTACTTATAAGTGTTATTATCATCTATAACTCATAATTTTATTATTTGTTTGTATTAAATTAATATCTTTCGTAAAACATAATTATCATTCAATTAGTATATTAGGTGAAAAAATCAAATAATATGGATTGAATTTTTCTTTTATTGCAGATAGATTTGATTGATGGGAGAAATTAATTTGACAAATTCTCTTAATATAAGTAGTAAATAGATAGATTACTAAACTAATGTGTACTATTTTTTGTAAAATTCAGATTTTAGGAAATTTAAATGTTTTACTATCTGGCTAAATAGTTTATTTAAATATAGGTTTACTTAATACATTTTAGTCCTACAAATAAGAGAAAATTAATATTGTATTCCTTAAACTGAAAAAAAACATCTTAATCTCCAAAATTTTAAAAAATAAGATTTATTGTAAACACTAAATTTAAACAAATAAATAACTTTAAAAAATGCATTTTTAATCCTTCAAAACTATTATTTAAGAACTAAAATCATTTTTTTTTCAATTTTAAGCAAAAGACTAAAATAAACTTTTTAATTTGAAGAATTACAATCATAATCACTCTTCTAAATTATAAAGACTAAAATCATAATTAAGCTAATATCCAATATTGTCCCTCTTAACAAATATTTTCTACTCTCCCGAATATTCCTTAAATTTCTTTAAAATGGAATGGAGTGGAAGAGTTCCAAAAGTATACCCTCTAATACATTCTTTTCAACAGACTCAACTTCAGTAAAAATAAAAATAATTTTTACAAAAATTACAAAAAAAAAAAAAAAAAAAAGGTATTAAGACCCACGTAATTCTATTATTTCTTAAAAATTTCAACTAAAAAAGTGTTAAAAAATGTTATGAAGAATGTTCCTAGCATTCACCCTGTAAAAATTTTGGATAAAATTTCACAGGACAAAAAAACAAAAAAAAAACGAAGTAAAACCGAATATAATTCGCACTCCGATCATGATTACCAAAAGAAAATGGCAATACAAAAATAAACAAAAGAACAACATATTAACAGGGAAATTGAAGAATAAACTGTAACTATACATACAGAAAAATAAACGAAGCGTAATTTTTTTTTTTCTTTCCCCTCTGAAGGCCTTCGGCCAAAAGCCAGTTAACCCTGTCAACTTCCTTTTCTTTTTTTTTTTTCTTTTTTTTTTCCTCATCACCTATCCAATTGCAAAGACTCTAAATTTTTTCTACAAGAGGCTCTCTTCGAAAGCCAAATCTTTAACCTCTTTTCATCCCCATTTTTCTAGACAATTTTGGATGAGCAAGGCCCTAAATCTAAGACGTTACATGCCCTCAATTTCTGCTACAATAACCCTGTAAAAATAACAATCCAAGCACCCCCCGCCCGAAAAGATAAAACAATTGAAGCTAAAGCTGCTTATATCTTACAGATATTACTTTGGAGGAACTATTTCTGAAAGAAAAATTTCTTAGTCGATTAAACCATGACAATTTCATCTCACCAGAGCCAGTGCACTGACCCTCCCCCTCCCCCTCGCTGCTGAAAAGGGTTTGGTCACTGCAGTCCAGTGAAGCTCCACATGCTAGATTATACGCCTGACATGCAGAATGACATACTCGTAGCCTGTTGTCTCCATCCTTCTCACACTTCTGGATTGAGATCTGAAAATCAAGTGCCAAGAAGAGTTTTAGAAAAAGGGTTATCAAGCATTACATGATTCATAAAAGAATTAGTTTTATGTTTCAGCCATTCTCAAAAGGCACAATGTTAGAAACAGCATATTAGTCCGAATCGGGATTTCATTATGGCTAACGGAATAACCACGTCAATATATTATTTTAAACCAAACAAATTTCGTTCGTGCTATTGTTATATCAGAGAATGGAAAGTCACTTGCAAGGCTTCACATTGTGTGAAATAATAGTTACCGAAAAAATTAAAATAAACATCACATTGAAAAGCAAAAGTTGAGTATGAATGAATGAATTAGATTACAAAAATGAAAAAGGATCTAAAGAATAATTTTGGCAGGAAAAGTTAGAACTTACCCAGCAGGCAAGCCTTTTAGCTGCCTCATCACAGTACGTGCTGCCAAATATATTAAATAGTTTCCTAGCACCACCAGGGAATAATCGATGGTAATTGGGCATGACAACCACTTCTTCTAGCTGTTGTAGTATGCTAGATTCACTGGGTGCACAATGTTGCCCTGAAACATCGTTTCCCAGCACATTTCTGCAAATTGAAAGAGTGGAGAGGAGCATGGAGCTGTTCTGGCAAGTATATCCCGCATAGTCAGAACAGCGAAATTCACAAACTCCATTATCACAAACCCCACCATGAAGGCTGCACTGCTCATCACAAACAGCTGCATGTATTATCAGGGACAATAATTAAATAAAGGATTTCCTACTAGAAATTATTTTTAATAAGATTGACAAAATCTGTTTTAATTTAGAATGTTAATGCCATTCAAACTTTAGGAGGGAGTAGGGTATATAAACAAGGAGACTTTATGAATTGCATAAACTGGGTTAATTGCCCTACAGGAACCACAATACAATATTTACAAGCACTTGAATATACATCATATTGGCTAACAATGTAAACACTATTCAAAAGCTCACCCCTGATTCTCTAACTAATGCTATAAGATTGGAATCATTTATTTACTGTTACAATTGAAGCAAGAAACTACCAAGTATAGAACTTGAAATTTACCAGTGGAACAGTCAATGCCAGTATAGCCAGTTTTACATTCACATATTCCACTGGTGAGGCACATGCCATTGCCAGTGCAATTGCTGGGACAGGAACCTAGAACATGTGAAGACAAGAATGAATGAAAGAAACAGTAAGCTATATTGTACCACTAAACAGAAGGTAAAATATTAGCAATCAAAGTAAAATGAATACTGAAGTTAAGACACATGGGGAAAATGAGAGCTCACGTCTACTGCAATCATGACCATGAAATCCAAGAAAGCAGTGACACCTTCCATCAACACAATCTCCATTGAAATTACATGCACTGGGACATTGCCCAGACACAACCACTGGATCCGTGTTACAGAGCTCATGATATGCAGGGCAGATTAGTTCACCTATTAGTAAGCAAAAGCAAGCCTTCAGCTTACTGGAAATATATCGTTGTAATAAACAAAACACCAATAAATATTGACCATTAAAGCCAGGAAACTGAATGGATCCACCAGCCTGTGGACACACTTTCCAGACACCATCCACAGCAACCTGTATGTAATATGGAGCTTCATTCAGCAGTTTCACAATAAAGGAAAGAGAAGGGAGATGTAAGAACCAATTCAAGAGGCAAAAAAAAAAACGACAAGCAGTAGTTGCAACTGTCCAATATCAATGAAAAATGTGTCTATACTCAAATAAAGTCAATTACAGAAATAATCACTTTTTCAGAATCTAGATTATCAATTAATAAAATAAACCACAAGGAAAGAACATGTATGAAATCATTGCCTTAGGTTCTCTTATTTATAATGGAGGCTCACAGTCATAATGAGTATAGGAAAAATGAAAAGACCTATTCTAGAAACTAGGTACAAATAAAGATACAACCCATAAATACACATGCTTCTAGAAACTAGGTACAACTGTCTATTTAATATCCAATGAATTTAACACTTCCCCTCAAGCTGGAACACACAAATTATATGGACCAAACTTGGAATAAATGAATTTGATTTGAGACCCTCTCAAGGATTTTGTTAATGCATCTACAAGTTAATCATTAGATCCAACAAACTCAGTATAAATTTCTTTGGACAACAACTTTTCTAAAAATAAAGTAACAGTCAATTTCAATGTGTTTATCACAATACATCTTCATTTTCTAAATCTCACAAAAGTTTAGCTCCTGAAGGAAATGTTTCACCCATAAAACTTCACACGTAAGAGATGTCATTGCTCTAGTATAGCGTCTGTCCATAGGAGATCCTGCCCAATCAACATTACAATACCGAAGAATTTAGGTATTTCCTTTATCTCCATATAACAACCCTTGTCCTGGAGCCTTTTTTTAGGTATCTCAGGATACGTATGATAACATTCCAATTATCAATACAAGGGGTTTGCATGAACTGACTAGCCACACCAACTGCAAAAGATAGATTAGGTCTAGTAATAGTATGATAAATAAGTTTCCCACCTAGTCTTCTATATCTCTCTGGATCAGGGAAAATTTCACCATGTTCTACCATTAATTTCTTATTTGGGTCCATAGGACTTTCCATGGGTTTACAATCAATCATGTTTGTCTCTTTTAAGATATCTAGAGCATATTTTTTTTATAGATTACAACACCTTCTTTTGACTAGGCTTCTTCAATTCCCAAGAAATATTTGAGACTTCCCAGATTCATGGTCTGAAAATGACTGAATAAGTGTTCCTTTAGCTGAGATATACTAGCAGAATCATCTACTGTAATGACTATATCATCAACATATACAATTAAGTAGACGCATTTTCTAGGGACAATGTGATAGTAGAAGACTGAATGATCTATTTCACTTTGTTTCAGCCTATAAACATGAATAATGGAACTAAATTTTCCAAACCAAGCACACAGTGATTATTCTAGACCATAAACGTCACAACTTATCGACTAAACTAGACTCTCCCTGAGCAAAAAAGTCAGGAAGTTGCTCCATGTAGACTTCCTCTTTTAGATCACCATGAAGGAAGACATTCTTAATATCCCGTTGATAGAAAGACCAATGACGAATGGCGGTCATGGCAAGGAAAAGTCTTACAACAGTCATGGCAAGGAAAAGTCTCACAACAGTCATTTTGGCCACCCGAGAGAAAGTATCACCATAATCAACACCATAGATTTGAATGTTACCCTTTAGCCACCGGTCTAACTTTGAGGCGGTCAACTTCACCATTAGGTCCGACCTTAATCGTACAGACCCAATGACAACCAATAGTTTTTTTCCCGAAAGGAAGAGGAACCAACGCCCATGTGATGTTATGTAATTTGGATTCATGGCCCGATAATCAAAACCATATAAAATTTATCTAGTTTCCTCTTTATGTTTTCTACTGAATCTTCCTCCAAGAAAATCTTCAATTCTTCAACTGTTGATTGAACTTTACCAATAAAGGACATCATATCATTATCTGCTTGTTTGAGGGAGGCCAGTCAATTAACAGAATCATAAAGACGTTGAATATCATTTGCAAAGATGTTTTGGGCCTTTTTCCAAAAGGAATTACACGTTTTAAAAGATCTAAGAGTGCTAAAAATATTTAGTTCTACTGATTGTCATAGTAGAGCACATAACTGAAAATCAATTTTCTTCCACTGTTGAGCTTGATATGATGGAACATCGCTTCTGTCTTTTCCTAGGTGATCATGGAACACTTGACATAAGAACCAAACTTTCACTGAAGCAAACCATGACAAATAATTTTTTCCATTTAACTTTTCAAATGTTATAATAGGAGACCTAGAAAAGGAGGTTACGGGCCTTAAAGCCATGTTTCCAAGCAGACAGTGGCAGGGTCAACGCATGGTGGTTTGCAGCAGCGGGCGATGGTGGCAGTGGCAGACAGCGGTCAGCAACAGACGATTATCGATGATGGTGGACAACAAACAGCGATTGCGAATAGGCAGAGCAGGACCAACCCGCTCTTGTACCAACTTCAAATAAAAAAGGAAAATATGTAATTAGAGAGCTTAAACTCCCTCTCTTAGGTTCTCCTATTTATAATGTAAGTTCACAAACATAACGAGTAGAGGGAAAATGAAAAGACTTATTCCAGAAACTAGGTACAAATAAAGATACATGCTTCTTTTAATATCTAATAAATCTAACAAGAAAAGAAAAATCCTATTGCTGTCATTCATTTCTCAAACAATCAGCCCCTAGAGTGGATAGGGATAAGATGGAGGTTATTCAACCTTATTACCCAGTTAGTTTCATTGTAGTTCAATTTAGATTCCTTAGTTCCGCGGAAATAATTAACACAACACTTTTAAAATTTGATGTAATTAAGTGATATTGTCAGACTTTCAATGAATGACACTCTGATGGTATAGTATTGCATCATGTCATCTCCATGTTAATCAGAAACAGCATTGCCTGCCAATCTTTAACTTCAGTTAAGGCATTTCCATAAAGTTATTAACACTCCCAACTATACCTCTAAGGAAGTGTTGATACACCTGTGCTGATAACAACCATTTCCCTGGGTCAGAGAACCCCGTACAAATCCTGTTCGCACTAACGATGAGGCCATACACCTGCATGAAAAAGGAATAACAGTTAGAAATCCTACACCCTGTTTCATGCCACATTGCAGATGAAAACAAAATACATTATAATTTCAAAGAAGAAACCTGACCTAGAGTTACTTCCTCGAATTTCACCTAGCATGCTATCAGGTGCCCTTGCACTGCTAGTATCTGTACATGATCCATCAGAGTATGCAACAAAATAAGTGCAATAATCAGCCAATGAGGATTGTCCACCTGCACAAAACAGTGAATAATGAGATTTTAATTTCACTACAACCAACTCTTCATTTAGTAATTAAAACCATTTACAACAACTATCAATGACAAAAAATTAATGTGAAACAACACCAAAATAAGAAGCAGCTACAAATAAATCAGAATATAACAGTCTACAAACTACAACAATTGCTAGGCAGTCTGTAAGAACGGGTCCAGAGATAAGAAATGAATATGGAAGGAAGGTAAAAGACACAATACTTTTATTCTTCCTCGTCAAGCCTACAATAGATAGAATGAGCATAGAGTACAAAAGATAAGTAGCTTCAGAGAGTTCCTTGCCTTGCGCACACCAAGAAGACATTTTAGAGACCTTGGCCCTCACTTCCCTTCCACTTCTAACCAAATACCCTCTTGGCTCTACAACTCCCGCACTACTTTTTTTGTGAAAAAATTCTATTAAATCAATAACTAAATTATAGTATTTTACATCATTAACTGTCCACCTTCATCCACTCTGACCGTCCCATTATTCATCCTAGTATAATGTTTCTACTTGGTAGTATAACATTAATAAAAAAATAATCTGTCCCAAGCAATGATTGTAAAAAGATGAAATGTACCAACAGACTATGCACAGATTAGCTTTGCCTTAAATATTGATAATGAATACATGAAAATCCATACCTTTATTAGCTTGAGGAAAATACCGTGCCCACTGAGGAAGGTCTCCGCTGTAGGTTAGAATTGGGCAGTAACCCTCTGCCTCTCTGTTATACGTACAACCTGAGAATTGTGTTGTGTTGCACCGATAGGCCCCCTTCCATAGACTGCAAGGGGAGGTAACAAACTCAGTACCCTGGTTCCGACCCCAATCAAGTTGGTCTGCCATGCTATAATTGGCTTTGTACCATCCACTGTCTTCTAATAGAGCTAGTGTCATTTTTGAAACTACAGATCTTGTATCCACAGAACCAGTCATGATCTCATTCATCAGAAGCCTCTTTTCCCAGTGAGACCCTGTAAAGCCAATCACCAAACCTGGATTGATCAACATGTTGGTAGGTATAAATTGGAAGTAGCACGTAAACATCATGCATGCTATTTTCTAAGAAACAGTTTTTTCCATATTCTTTTGTATTATTTAAGTGTATTTTGGGAAAAAAATTAAAAATAAAATAAAATAAAAATTGAAGGCCTAATGCTTTGTTTATAATCTTACCAGAAGGGATAAAATATTTCAATATTTCATTATGCATATAATACATAAATTTTAATCCAGAGATTGTAAAACAGACTAACCATTAATTTGATTGGACTGAAGCACTGGGATAGTATTATTCTTTCAAAATAAAGGTGGAGAGGAATGATGGATCGGAAATTTAAATAGACAAATAAAATGTTCTGAATGAAACTCAAGCTTTGCCAGCTTCAGCAATTGTAAAACAATTTACCAATGTTAATTAATTTCAGTGGAAAGAACCATTGACAAGAGGAAGAGGATGACATTTTTAATAAGAAAGAAACAATGAAGAGATTAAGAACCTGATGTGCCACGTCCTCCACCATCTTCCAGCTCTAAGCCAGTAAAATTTCCAGAGAAGGCCTGCCATTAATCAGTCATCAACCACTACTTGAATCTTCTAATGAATATTACATTGCAAGTGAATATACAAAATATGACATTGAAATTATAGAGAATATGTTCCATAGAAATTACGACATAATGATGCCGGGAATGCATGACTACACGCGGAAGCACCACACGTGTTACCATCCGCCCAATCTTTTCATCAAAAACTCGTTCAGTAACCTGCAAAGCCAAGAAACAATGAGCTTCCAAAATGTGAACAAGTAAATGCCTGAAATGGAAAAGGAGTGCTTAAAAAGAAAAAGGTTGTAACATACATATCGGAAAGAAAGATAGGATGTTCTAAAAATAGGGTTAAATGCCACAAAAAAGTCCACATTCATTCAAGCTCCTCAACTGATCTTAAATACAAATCAATATTTAATAGTGATAAAAATGCCAGAGCTATAAAATGTATTCACCCCCAATCCAAACTTAGCCATCACTTGTTTCAAACTTCACGTCTAAGTATACTATAATAAAATTATAATTATAATAAAGAATGCAAAAGCAATTTTCTATATCAAAAGAAGGGAGATGATGGTGTTCTTTAGTTACTCATTGCGAAATTCAAACACCAAACATGGAGGAAAGTATACTTGAAAACCAATCTAGAACACACCACTTCATTGTAAAAAAAAGAACAAAAGTAGCAAATACCTTGTTACGGCGTCTTTTCCTTTCATCTCTAAAATGAGCAAAGGCATGTGGGTCAAAGCCAAGAACATGCATTACCTGAAAAGAATCAAATACAATCAACAGAGCCACACAATGACAGCTATTTGCAATCTCCTCTCTTCTATACACAAAAACTAAACAACCTCATGTATCAGCGTAGCTGATAGTAGAGTCTCTGCCTCAGCTGTCAAATGACGAGGAGCAACATTAACATGTCCTGCACAAACATGCAAACAAAAGGCCCTTTCAGTTCCAAAGGATCCCAAATGCAAAAGAAAGACAACCAATTAACCCAACACATTTAATCTACCAGCTATAGCACGACCCCATTGGTCCCGTTCGCATGCCACAGCCCAAGCAAGTGTATTCCCAGTTGTAGGTCTTGTAGTCACCAAGAGAACCAAGTCAGCATCAAAGACTCCCTCTGGGCAAGGTGAACAAAGAGGTCATCCTCATAAATTCACAAGTACAGTTAACCACAAGTTTTATAAGAACTACACTTTCAACAGAAGGCCAACAAATGAATCATACCTTCAACATATTCATGAGGAAGCTGCACACCTCCATCTTGTCCACATGCAGAGTATCCACTTAATCGCAAGTTCCCCTTGACAGGCTCAACTGACAATACTGTCCTAAACCAGTCAGCTGTCTGACCTAATGCCTGCAATAAGTTTCCACCAATGATAAATATCTCTATCCAATCTTTATAGTATAGCTCTAGCTAACAACACCATGCCAAACAATATTTATGCCAAAAATGGCACAGAATCACATGAGATCATTGGCCTGATGAAGGGGAGCATCCGCATAACAGTTGGAGTTGTTGCCATGTACTCAAAAGTTACAGGCTCAAGCTATGTTGCATGGCAAGGCTCCCAACTACAGACCCACCACAGAGTGGATCTGGTCATTCTCTGGACTCCACGCATATCCAGATCTTTAATTATTTATGGCACCAGGAGACAATTTTTAATTATCAACCAAGTAAAACAAACCATAGTTTAAAGGAGAGAAACGCAGGATCTCAACAAACCTTGCGAAGGCGGTGTTTTTTGTCCCCTCCTGATATATCTTCGGAAGTGCAGTTATACCAACAATCACCAAAGACTGGAGGATCAGCAACAGGATTACAAGAAGGCATACCAGGAAGGGAAGACATGGGAGGCTCCCCAAGCTGTTCATTAAAAAATAATGATTAACTGTAACGAGTATAAGTGAAAGAGAAACCGATGTTAACTAAATCCTTTTTTCATTCATTTTAAACCCTCACCTTGACAATATCACCAATCTTTTGGCAATCCCTGTCAGGGGAGTGACCAACTGCATCATAATTTAGATATATCCTAATAGGTTGCTTTTCATTCCCTACAAGCTCCGATGATGTTGGTACACCAAGTAATGCCCTACCTTTAAGCTGGAGGTGTTTTGAGAGACCAGGCTTGTAAACCTGTGGGGTAACTGAATACACCTTGCGACCAGGTCGCTTTCTCTGTTCAAGTATCTCATCATGTATGCAAGAATGTGAGGCAATGTGCTCACTCCTCCCTTCCAAACCTCCCCATTGAAATTGTTGTTCGGGTAGATTTGCATTATAGACTTCCAACCATGCTAATATCAATACAATCTGAAGCAGGATTTAACAATAGATATTTAACTTTAGCAACTATCTTGTCTACACTCTCAAATCCAATGTTTTAAACAGACACTTTGAATCAAAACTTCTTAATTTTTCCTTCCAATCAACAACTAAATCAAAAACAACAATGTGAAAACACTAGCTACAGAAAATATTGTCAACATACAAACTTCAAATTTGAACCATAAGCTGAATGATAGGCCTATTTGAATAAAATTCTCCGTAAGCACTTATAGAAGAAAAAAAATAGAAGTAAATGAATTAAGTTTATCTTATGTACAAGTTAAAAAACACATCTTAAAGAGACTAGCATGTGAGTGCTTTCGCAAAACAGCTCATGAATAAAGTCTTATTTCATTTTTTCTTCTTATCTTATTCTCCTAAGGTTTATGGAGAAACTCTAGCAAATAGGTGCTTACTATGAACCTGTTACGGACAAGTTTGATGCTCTTCTCAGTTCTTTGTCGTAAAAATTGTTTTCTAAAACATCCACACCACTCAACAATCAATTTCTCATACAAGTGTTATTAAATTTAGAAAATTGTTTCCAAAATAAACGTTTAAAAGCTCATACAGAAACGGCTGAGAGATGTTCATGCGTTTTCTTCTGTTTTCATCTTCGTCAACCACTCCCTCAGTTCCACACTTTAATTCGTGCCTTGCACCACCTTCCACAAGCTGCCTGAGCAACCTTGTTTAGTCGCACTTTGAAAACTGAAACCAGTATTTGAAATCGAAATAAAAAACATCCTAATTCCTAAATCTTCATCTTTCTTTTTATCTCTCTATTTTAGAGTCTCGTTAACACTCGTCCAAATCATAGAACAGTAAAACCATATTTTGAGTCCAAAAATATAATGTTCAAACATCGATTATCTTCTAAATCTCCCCTCGCATTCTCCAGCTACAAATTATATGAGCATAGTTCAGCATGCTATTCACAAAACCCATCCTAAGGCCTAAAGGTTAGAGCGAAATTGAATGGAAAGAAATCTCCTAAAAACAGCTATCAAAGCAAACAAAAACATTCGCTGGTGGAGAGGAGGGGTGAAGAAGTAGCACAGTCCACACCTTGAAAACAACGACGGCAAATCGAAGGCTGCAACCAAATCCTAATAGCGCGCATGAACTACGGCACCGAAGCAAGGACTCCATGGAATGGCAAAGACCGGAACGCAAACGGCGCCGATTCCATCAAACCGCCGGCGATTCCTCGATCGAAGCGCGCAATAACCGTTCGCTCCGACGCATTTCGGAAATGCTTCGCGCAGAAGAGAGGGTGAGAGTAACCCAAACCTACGCCACAGACGGTAACAGTGGTTACGATTAACAATGTTCCGAGAAATACAAATGTTAAGTGAAACAGAACCTCGGTTCCTGAAGAGAGGGCGTGCATAAAACTTCGAATTCGCTACAAAACGTCGTTAGAACGGTTTGAACTTCCACAAAAATGAGGAGAGAGAGAGAAGACACTGACAGTGGAAGGAAGAGAAAGATACTACGGAGAGAGAAGAAGGAGAAAATACTGGGTGGAGTGGTTGGGTTTTATTATTATTATTTTAATGTTTTGGTGACGTTTTTTTTGTTACTTCCATTTTTGTATAATAAATTAAAAAATATATCAAACTTTAATAATTAATCATAAAAGTAAATTTCAAATGGAAGCTCTTTATTTATTAACGCGTATGGTTTATTCTTAATAGCTAAGTTTACTGTTGTTGAGTATTAACGAGATGTAATATCTAATTCTTTGCTTGTTTTATACCCAACAATAAAAATTACTTATTTTGAACTTAAATAATAATGGTTTCTTAAGACACCTATTAAATTATTATAAAATGCATTTTAAATCATTATTTGAGTTTCTAACCCTGGATTTTTCTCTTTTTTCATTGCAGGCTTCTTTTAACCAGTATTTTAGTTTTTTGGGTTAACTAGATAAACATTTCTTTATATAATATGTTTATGATGGTTGAAATATATATATATATATATATATATATATATATATATATTTGTATTTATTTGGTCTAACAAAATTTTATTTAACTAAAATTGGTTTTAGGCTTTATTATTTTATTTTAGTTATTATAAAATTTACATTTATTATCCTTTGTAATATGTTAATCATTTACTTTCATTTCTTACCATGTTTTTTTAAAGAATTAATTCAATATATATATATATATATATATATATATATGAGTGATTTTACCATCACTAAAACAGAGTAATAAAAATAGGATTAGTCACGAGCAAAACCAATAATATTTTATCAATAACATATTTTATATTGTCAAGTTTGCTTCATATTTTGATTTTTTTTATAATTCAAATAAAAGTAATTAAATTATTATTGGATTGATTTAGTTTGAGACATGAGGTTATGATAAAGAAATAAATAGATGATGATGATGTATTTTTTAAGATTTTATTTTTATTTTATGTCTACTTTATAATGATTTATAAATTTCATCAGTATAAAAAATTTATTACTTCTTACTTAATAAGTAGTTTTTTTTTCCTTTTTACAATTATCACTTTGCTTGTCTCCTTCATTCATGCATCAAAAATTATTTTATGAAATTTGTTATGATACCACAATACGAGTAATATGAATGAGTAAATTTTTTGTGATATCATATTTTGTTGAATTTTGTACTTGACAATATTTTTTAATACAGTATAATTTAAAATATCAAATTGTTGTTTTTAAATAGATAATAAAACATATTTCTTTAAACAAAAACAAAAATAATAAAAAAAATGTGTCCAGAAATAGATCCCGGCGAGAATTTGGGATCGTTCATTTCTTTTATCTTTGAAATGGACTATGAGTCCACATCAGGGTTAGCATTTTAATTTTTTCTAATAGAATAAATATTGGATGCACTTTAATATTTTTTAAATATATATAATTAAACTTTTAATTTTTATCTTACTAATTACATAATAATGATTTGCAATATTTTTTAACTTAACTTATCATTTAAACTTTCTCATTTTAGCCTCATAAAAAAAAATCAAAATTAACTGATTTTATTTTGTAATGAAGTGTTAATTTCTTTTTTCTTAACTTATATGTATTCTCTCTGGTCAAAATAATGTATTTACAAAAAGAATTATATCATTTTAGTAATATTATAGAATGTTTAAAAAATAAAATTATGTGAATGGTAATCGTGCACCTTTTTTTCCATCTTGTATTTATATGTCAAACTCATGAATTAAAACCACGTTGAAATGATTCAGCTTCCTAATAAATTCAATACACTCATTATTTGATTCCTTATCCATAATTTTTGAAAAGGTAATCTCAAAAATGAGAAAACGTTTTTTTTAACATAAACAAATAATGAGTTTAATACCCATAATAACTACTTAAAGTAATTTTATATGGTTATGTAATTATAAATCATTATTAATATCAGTTTTAAAAGTTTAATTTTAATAAAATATAAAAATAAATTAAATTATAAGAAATAAACTTTTTTTATATATCTAAAGACAATCTTTATAACTCAAAATTGACATGCCTCATCGTTCCTTTTTATTTTTATTTTTTTTATTGTTTTTGCTTTTGCTTTTGTTTTGGTTCTTAATAAAGTGACTTTTCTTCTATTACATATATTCTCTATTGTTGAAGTAACGTGAAGTAGGGTTCTTCTTCAAGCCACAAAGAATGGTCCAATTACCAAAATCTAGCAACCACTTCAAATTTTAATTTTCACTCTTGCTCATGAAGAAAAAAATAATAATACTAGTAAGAAAAGAAGGTTTAAAAATACTATAAATAAAATATTATTATTAAACTAAATAAAAATGTGTTAACATTATTAGAAAAATTAATGATAAAGTACTTTAATTATGATTTCTTAACCTTTTTGAAAATTATGAAACTTGAAAACCAAACCAAATGGATTCTAAGGATGTGATGAAAACAATTCCTCTTTGAACCCAGCAAATTAAGGCAACAGATATAACTCACTTGCAAGCAAAAGACAAAAATCATGGTTATCTTTGATGGTGTTTTCCACAAAAGATGGGTTGATTAGGTTTGGTATTTGGTTAACCTACAATTCAAGGTTTCATGTATTTTATTATGTTTTTACCTTGCATCTTTTTGGATAAACATAAACATGTAGATTTAATTTTAACTATTCACTTCAAATATTTAATGCATTGATTTTATTGCACCTAAGTATCAAAATAACCACACATTTAAATCTTATCCAACATAGTATTAATATATGTTATTTATTGAAACAAATTCACTGGAATATATTTTATATTTTTTTATCTATTTTAAATATGTAATTTGTTTAATAACAAATTAGAAGTAAACTATTTAATATTTATTAAAAATTGAGAACTTCAGTCCATTTAATTAAAAAAATATATAAAATTTAAATCGGGCTTCACCTCAATGATTATACACAAACCTATAGAAAATGAAGTCTATAAAATTGATTGAAACTCACAAACAAAATTGAGAACCAAATTTTATCTAATAATGGTCTCTTTAAAGCCTATAATTTTCAACAAAAATCAATTAACAAAATGATGAAAAAGGTTCATGCACTTTTTTATGAATTTATACTGTTGATAATTATATATTATTGTTGTAAAAATCAATTGTCTTGTTATATATTATGGATTTGTGAGGGGATGAATTATAAAAGTAATATAATTTATAAGTTTGGTATATAATTTTTTTTTCTCTCAAAATATATTAGGTCAACAACATTAATCATGAATTTGGGTACAACACAACTCATCCACCTTGGTGAGCAACCAACATAACACAAGTTAGTCACATTTAAAGTGTGGATAAAGGTGTGGTTTGAGTCCTTGTCAGCATGGTTTTGTATGCATCAGTAGAGTTGTTTGTGTTAGGTTGTGTGGTCATCATCTTACTTCCAAAATCATTATATAAAAGTTTGTGGGGGCACCACATTATATATGACTTTTCATATTAGTAAGATTATCCAATGAGGTTGTTTTATCTTAAAAAAAAAAACAAAAGAGTTTTGAATTGATAAATACAATTTCTGCTTCTAAATCAAATGAAACATCTATTTTCCTTCTATTGTCACTGCCACCTGTATTGTATTATAATTATTGTGTTTCAATAATAATTATTAAAAAAATAATTAGGAATTAAAAGCTTAATTGATATATTAGTTAAAAAAAATTAAAATAATTAATATTACAAAATTATAAGTATAATTATTTTTTCCCTATAAAAATATATCCAAATATAACATCATACATTTAAACTGGTAGGGATGATTTTTCATTATATATATAAATCTATTATTTCTTAGAATTTATGTTTCAGTGCTTATGGTTGTGTAGTTCATGGAGATTGGAGTATATAGTAAGTACATTTACTTCTTAGGTTTTATCTCCATTGTATGTTGATTTATTTTAATTTCAGAATGTGCATTTTTTTAATATTTTTTATGATTATTTTTTAAATTACTATTTTTAATTACATTATATATAATAATAATAATAATACCTAATAATAAATATTAATTTATTATAAATTTATTTTTCATCTTCATATTCATATATTTTAATCTAATAATACAAAATAAAATAAAATATTTTAATTATTAAATTATAAGAATATGAATAATAAAAATAAAAACAATTTTTTTTAACATTTCATACTTTTATTTATTATTTAGAATTTATAATTGAATAATTTTTTAATACTTTTCAGGGAATACTAACACTTTGAAAGATAAAAATTAATTAAGAATAAAAACTCTATTAAAAATAGTCATTTGGGTTAATAGGTGATGATGAGTTACAATATTAATAAAATCATTACATTTTATTTATGTGTTTTAAAACTAATGGGACATATACAGCAAGAATGATAAAAGAAGTCAGTCAAACACAAAAACATATAAATCCATGGTTTAGTTTCGTACGTTGTAGTTCGTTATGGGTAAGATAGGTCCAACAATATAAAGTTTGGCGCAAATAGGTATAGGTATTTATGCCCACACTATATACAATGTAAATATAAAAAAATAATAATAAGAGATTTATTTATTTATTTTGTGCAGGCACAACTTTCTCACGTGTGTTAACCATTGAATTGCTGTCAGACTTTACAATATAATATTAAGAATATATATATATATATATATATATATCTAAAATTTTTGAAATAATTATTTTAGCCTTTGAAAAATATGAGAATTTTGGTTACAGGGTCTCCTAAAATATTTTTCTTTGATTTTATCCTTTTAAAATTTTAAATCACTATTTTCATTTACAAATATTATTTTAAAATACATAGAAAAATATTCACTTTATAATTTTTTTAATAATACATGTGGACATTTTATCACAATATTAATTAGTATGCATGATTTAAAATGGTCATTTATTTATTTTTCTCAATAAATAAATAAGTAAATAGTTAATTAATATTTTATGATACTAGAATCAAAGTGATAATTTTAGAGAATGACAACTTTTTTTCATAGATCAAAATCAAAACTTTCATATTTTATCATTGCTAAAAGCATATTTAAACATTGAAAATGAATTACAATTTCATTGAATTATTCATTTTTGTTCTTATTTAAAATACATTTGTTTTTTTTTTTGTTTTTAAGGAACAAGTTAAAGTTATATTTTAATATTTTTTTAATTTGATAATGATAAATAATTATAAAATATCTTTCAATTATTTTATTTTTTAATATAAATATTTTTTTTACAATTTTTTTTACAAATAACTGAATGACTAATTTTAAACGTGTTCTTATTTGATTCAGATAAAATCTTGTTATACTAATAGATCATGTCCATAAAATTAAATTATCCTATTTTAGAAGTTACTGAATTTTGAAATTTTAATTAATTAATTAATCTTATTTTTTAAGATAAAAAATTTAATAATGAATGCAAAGTTTTTGTCATAATAAATTCAGAAAGAAAAAAAATGAAAATAGATAAATTCTACAAAATTAAAATTTAACTTTTATATGAAAAAAATTGTAACATAATTTTATTTTATTTTTATCTAAGATCATATAAGTGTGACATCAACTAAGTTATAATACCTTTTAACAAGACTTTTAACAATAATAATAATAATATAAAAATTATATTAATAATAATAAATAAATTTCATGATAATATTATAATAAAACTAAAATAATTTTAATAATATATATATATATATATATATATATATAAAATATAAATTGTGCAAGAAAGTACAAAGTTTATTCAATACAAATTTTTTATTTGATTTAAAAAAGTTTTGCTCATAAATTTTATATATTTAAAATATATTTTATAACACAATTTGTATTTTTTATATCATTTATATTTATAATTAAAAACATCAAAATAATACTTTTATCAATAATAAATATTAAAAATGTATACTGAAAACCTTTTATAATAAGGTATTATAAAATTTTTATAAAAAATACTGTAAAATTTTGGTTTTCATTTAAACAAGTCTTAATTTGTCCTATTGGCTTAACTAACCTTTAAGATTAAACCCCACTACATAATTATGAAATCAATCATAACCTAAAACATTTCTACAAATACCTTAGTCTTTGTTTGTTGTCTTTTGAATGTAATGCAAATTTTGATCTCTTCCCTCCCAGAAAAAAGTTGAAAATCAACCAATCAGTTACTCATCTTCTTTATCTAATTATGTCTTAATCTGTATCACTTTAAAATTAAATTTTAGTTATCTACTCCAACATATTTTTCCATCATGTTTAAACAAGAGATTTCATTTGAATCCATGATGTCACAGAGTAACATTACTTGACATAAAAAGTTATGTGCACATAATTGATTCTTCAATTATGGAAGGCTCGGAACTGAGTTAGACTAGTCCCCTCCTGAATGGTGGAAGAGTGAAGAAGACTCAGATTTGGCAGCAGCATGAAAAGTGGGATAACATGTTTTACATAACTCATTGTACCTCCCCATGTCAAAGTTGTATGTCTTCATTAGACGTTCTTGCTTAACCCTGAATCGGTGAAAGAAGAAACCCTGAAAGGTGGGTTCTGTGGATGTCTTGAGGAAGAAAAGATATGCCAGAGCAAACCCAAAAGATGTAACAAAGAAGCATATAGGTTCCATAACATCCCAACTTAGCTCCCAGAAGGTGAGTCTCATGAAACCAAGAGTTTGGACTGTCAAAAAGCCCAACCCAAAATAAAGCTCAGTTCGGACCTGGGCCTTGGCCTTATTATCAATCATTGCCTTTTGCTTTTCCATCTGTTTTAACTCGTCCCTTCTGGGGTCGTTTGGGTTGGCTATTGATTGATTCATTAAGCTTTCTATTGATTTTGCCACCTATTGAAGGGAATCAAAGCAACATTATTAAATTATTCAATAAAAAATCTAAAATAAAATAAAATTATTATGTATTATAATGGACACTAATGGACCAGGTTTTTGCCTATTGGTACATCAAATTATACACTAAATTCAACTAATGAAAAAGTTGAAGTTACATTCATAATATAATTATCATCTAAAATCAAATGAATAGTAAATAACTTTATTTTTTTGTCCCAAAATGTTAATGTAAGGAGCGGGCGGTTTGTTTTTATGGCACCGCCAATCTGGACAAAAAATTTCAGATAATTGTGACCCTTCATTAAAATTTGGAACTTCTTCCAGAGTTGAAGACAAGAGACCATAATGTAAGGGTGCAGTGACGGTTAACCACAACATAATGTCACATTTTTTGAGACGAGGAAAGACCACACAGACACAAAATGACAAACATACCAAAATATTGCTGAGGATAATTGTAGTAATGAATGATAGTAAGAGAAAAAACAAAACTCTCAACCTTAAATTCATGCGAACAAGTGGTCACTAATCATATCACTCATCCATAGACAAAGGGTATATTAGACACCTCACCTTACACATGTCCTAACCCAAAAATTCTGTTTAAAACTACGCAAGATTAACGCATGTATTACCCGACCAAATCCTCATTATGCCTAATTAGGATAAGATCCTCTCATCATCTCAGCTCGGGTTCCAAAACTTAACCGTGCCCACTGCAGTTTGAATTTAATTATTTCACTGACACATCAAATAGATTTTTGACATTTTTACTCAACAAAGAGTCGGGTTCTCTTCGTTCAAAATACATTTTTATAATTAAAAAATAAATTTCTATCTGTATCGATGCTTAAGATGCATGCACTTTAAAGTGCAATTACAATCTTAATTCCAACAGTTAATATTGAAAAGAATGACAAAGTTAAAAAAATATTTATGAGAAATAAATGTCAATAAATTAATTTATACTTTTTTTTATCAGCTACAACTAATAAGGTTTCACAAAATATTTTTAATCAAAATTAATATTTGAAGATATTTATTTATAATTTTGTTTTGTTACCAGATATTTACACATAAGATCAAAATCATACATATGATTTGCATGACCCTAGAGTCATAATTTTATTCAGTTTATAAAAAAATTATTACTCATTATCACTGAATTAATAAACTTCCAATTGAAAGTGGGGTGACACCACAATTCAATATCAATTTCTTTTATACAAGACTCAAATTTTTACAAAAATTTTAGTAATTGGATCTTTAGTAAAGTATTAACTAAAACAAGTTTTAAAAGCCAAAATCGCAATAAATAAGATTAAATTAACTATTGATGAACAAAATTATTTTGAATCAATAATAAAAAATAAATGAAAAAAAATTAAATACATTTTATATTTATATTTAATTTAAACAAAAAGTAAGTTTCCTTGAAAATAAACTGATGTCAGATAACTGACGGAACCGAGGTGATACCTGTTCAGGGTGGAGAAAAACGATGTTTCCCAGGACGATGACGTTTCCCGAATCATCCAAGATCTTTGCAAACTCCACACCTTGATCATGGTTCTCACAAGCCTCAACGCACATGCGCAAGAACTCAGAATACTGAACTGAATTTTCTGGAACATTCCTCAACCTTGCTTTTACCTTCTCCATTTGCGTGGCCCTCAGAATCTTCCTCGCATCCTCCACAGACATTCCGTTTCTGCACACGGCGTCGCCGGCGACCGGCACCGTCACCGGGGTGAGACCAGTGCCGTTGTTAATGCCCTTAAGTGCCTCCCGGAGTTTCTCTCCAACAGGAAGAAAAAGAAACTCCGGCAGTCGCGCCGGACCGGAGTGGTGCACCGCCCGCCGGAGGAGCAGAAACCGCCTAAGGAAACCTCTGTGATCGGAACACTCATGCGGAACGATAGGAGGCGTCGCCGCTTTGACAACTGCAGTGCGCTCAAACGAATTCGTCGCCCTGAAACGTTCGAGCAAACGCTTGGTGAAGAGCTTCCCACCAGACGCCATGGAAGAGTTTCTTCTTCTCACTGTTATTATTATTATTTATTTGTCTCTCTCTCTGGTGAGAGAGATAGAAAGTGCTTCCAATAATCCAAGATTCAGGACACAGGTAGGTTTTAAAGACTCGTGATAGCATAAATGTTTGTGGAGGGTGAGTATATATAGGTCCAAAGTTCGAGGAAATTTTTATTTATTTTTTAAATCAATTTAATTAATCATATAATTTTGTATCAAATTATAATGAAATCTAATTTATGCTCATATGTGAACCCTGTCCATATATATATATATATATATATATATATATATATATATATATATATATATATATATAACATTATTATATTTTTTTGTTATTATTCTGTGATAATATTTTAATTTTATAATTTGTAAAAAATATTTATTTTTTATTTTAAATATATAAATTTAATCTTTAAATTAACTTAAAATAGTAAAAATTATTATTAAATTTAAATATACAAATTAAAATTATATATTTTATTAGTTCAATTAGAATAATTGTATAACGATAAAATAATATAACTAAATGATATACTTAAAACAAAAGATTAAAGATAAATTTTAAAAAATAAAAAAACTAAAATATATGTCTATATATATATATATCCTAACCAAATTAAAGATAATATATATATATATATATATATATATATATATATATATATATATTCTAACTAAATTAAGAAGAAATAAAATTAAAATTTTGAAAATATATATAAGATAGTTGTTGTTACGATTATGTTTGATTGTAAAGAAAATTAATACGATACATAAGAAAGAGAATAAAAAAATATAGAATAGAGTAAAAATTATATCTATTCTTAATTTTTAATCAAATTTGTTTTATTCTGGTAAGTTTAAAAATAATTATTTGTATCTTTCTAATTTGTAAATAAGGTACTTTTGGTCTTAATAGGCAAAATAAGGATAAAAAGTGGGTTATTGATAAAATATGACCACTATTTTTTTTAATAAAAAACTTAAAACAAACTAAATTCAAATTTAAGAAAATAAAAATAGTTAACATACTGGTGGAGCATATTGATCACCAAATTTACTTGTAAATTTTCATACACAATTACCAACTTCCCTTTTTCCAAACTTGAAACAATAATCAAAATACTACTAATATTCATTATTTATATATTTAAATTTTTTCTTTTAAATATATGTTATACGTAAATTCACACTCATAAAATCAAAAACTATTAATAAATGAAAAGAGTTACTTAACATAAACTAAACTTTACATTTAACAGAACACACTGTGTCATCCAAGTTTTATTAAAAGGTTTTTGTAATTATTTTAAAAACAATAATTACTACCATATTATTATAATATGTATCTGTTAGACTCCAAAATTAGAATTCTTATACGATAGAGTTTAATTTAATTAAGAATAAAAAAATATTCTTTATTTATTTTAAATTATTATTCATCAGTATTTTTTTTAACTAAGAATAATGGGGGAATTTTAGAAAGAATGTACTGTTACCACAATATATAATGGAGGAAGAAAAGATAAGTTATAAAATAAATATCGTTATGATTTTTAATTCAATATTATTTTTTACTTATATTATTAATAAGCGTCATTTTAATTTGTTTAATGTAATATTAAAATAGTACGAGTTCTGAGAAATCATTATTAATAAGCGTCATTTTATTTAGGTTATTTTTATATTTTTTTCCTTTTCAATTTTATTTTCATATTGCTCGCTGTTATGCAATCTGACATTTGTCAAAAATGTTTCAGTGATGGACACGTATGCACACAGATTTTAAATTTACACAAGTTGTTGTTGAAATTGAAGAAAGAGGTTCGAATTCACATGCAAACCACTGCCTAACTGACATGTGTAATGAATAGTTCATCGTTTGGTTGCATCAAAGGAAACCATGAAAAAACATAAACAACATCAAACATTTTTTTTTCTTTTAATCGTGACATAATACAATTATCCTGTTTTGGGACTTGCAATTCATTAAATTTCTCAGTCGATAAAAAAAATATTTTTTTCATTAAAATAAATATATAAATAAATTTAACATATATGGTTATTTTTTATGAGAAATTTTTTTAATAAGAATTAATAAAATTTATTAAATATTTTATAATATAAGATAATTAAAATTTAATATAATTAAATTATCTTCATAATAATATGTGAAGTTATATTTTTTTATATAAATGAGAATGAAGATAGTAAAAAAAAGAGTTTAAATATATTTTAAAAGTCAAAATATTTTTTTCTAAAATATTTAAATTTTGGTTTTAATTTCTATAAAATATTATTTGATTTTGTTGTTCTACCTCTGAAATACATTATAAATATCATCCCACCATTGTAAAAAAAATTATACATATTGAAAGAAACCTAAATATAAAAATATTTTGAAAAATTAAAAGTAATTTTTCTTTAAATAATTATCTATCATATTAAATGACAAATTTTACACATTTATTTAAAATAAGTAATTTTTTTCATTTTAATTTAATGGATAACTTTTATATTGGACAAAAATAATAAAACTAAGTGTCCATTATCTCATTAAAATATTATAACAAGAAAATAAAATTAAAAAATTTATCATTTAGAATAATAGAGTGTTTAGTATTTGGTTTAATATTTTTTTAATCAAATAATTGTTTAAATTAAATATACAAATAAAATATATTTTTATTTAAATTTAATTTGATACAAATCTAAATCAAACTAAACAAATATTTTTATAAATTTAGTTAGATTGATATGTAGTTTTATTATTATAAATTATAAATATAATTTTCTAAATTTATGACGTTTAATTTAATACAAATTTTGAATCAAATTGAACAAATGTTTTATAACTTTATTTAGATTGATATGTAACTTTGTTATTATTAGTTATAAATATAATTTTTAAAATTTGTAAAATATTTAAAATAATATTATTAAATATTTTACAATGAAACTTATTAAATAAATAAAATACGTTATGATTTTCAATTATTTTATATTTACAAAAAAATATATAATATTTTAGTTAAAATTATAATATAAATTTATTGTCATGTATTAATAAATATAATTATATTAAATTAAATGAATACGATGAAATTATGAAATAAAAAAATATACCACATACAATTTAAGTTAATAATTATAATTTTATGCATAAAACATTATATTTAAGTATAATGAGTGATTTAATTTAATTTAACTTAATTTTTTGATTTAAACTTATAGTACGATATTGTTAATTAAAAATATTAAAATGAAAATGTATTTTCATTTAATGAAAATGAAATTATTAAATATTCTATAATAAAAATTATTAAAATGTTATTTAAATTATTATTATATTTATAATTATAAATTTAAATTTATAAATAAGTATATAATATTTTAATTAAAAATTATAATAGAAATGTATTATTATGTATTAATAAATATAAATTTATTTTAAATTAAATAAATATAACCAAATTAAAAAATAATATTAAAAAATTACACCTTATATATTTGTTGATCTTCTATGTATAAGACATTGTATTTAGATATAAAAAATTATTTAATTTAATTATTATTAGTATTATTATTATTTGAAATTTATTGTTCGATAATTAAAAAAAATAAAATAACATTTATTTTTATTAATTTTTAATCATTTTTTAGTTTTTTGAAATTTGAAACTTATAATACGATATTGTTAATTCAAAATATTAAAATTAAAATAAAATTAATTATTTCTTTATTTTTATTTTTATTTTTTACATCTCTTAAATTTTGAATACACCTAAAAATAATAATCAAATTTATATTAAGAATTAATATATAATATAAGTTTTTGAAAACTTTCTTAAAGTAAAATTAAGATAAAAATAGATGTAAATCATACATACCTGATAAATTTTATAAAAAAGTATATAAATAATTGTTTTTATATGTTTCAAATTAAAATAACAGCGAAAATTGTTTTCCATTATATATTTATTCATAATCTATTATTAGTGTGATTGTAAAATGTATTATGAAGGTATCTCTTCTTAAATCTTTAAGAACAGTTAACTTTAAAAGAAAAAGAAAACATAGTGCCTCTAAACACACTAATTAGCTCCTTTTAAAATTTATATATAGTATTTATTAACATGTATAACACATACAAGAAGAAAAATATTATTTTTATTTACATGTTACACTTATAAATTTACATGAAATCAGACACAAGTCAAATCATGAAATATATATATAAGTAGAAAAAAAAATCAACATTATAATCATAAAACTGTTGCATATAAGTAGACACACAATCTAATCAATGTCAAATTCTAATCTCAAAAGTTGAAGTTAGTTGAAGCACACATCCACCACCATGATGGACATGCAGCATTAAGGAGCCAATTAATGCATAAATTGTTAACAAACATTAGAAAGGGTTGTTTTTGGTGAATTATAAACTATAAATTGATGTTGATGTCCACTTAGAAGAAGAAGAAGAATGAAAGAATTATGATGAGGATATCCACAAGCACACCTATTTATCTTTTGGAGAGTGAGTCAATGGATTAGAGTGTTTGATTAAAAATTATTTGAGTTTCCAATTACATATATGAGCCATCAAAATACCTTAATCTATCAAATTTTTCACCTAAGAAGTTATTTGAGATCCAACGTGTCTCTATCATAACACTTAAAACAACCCTGATCCTAGAAATCTATTATAAGAAGGAATTTAGAACTTCTAAGGAAGAATATTCCCTAAATAAGTATTGCTTTGTAGGGTAACAAATTTTGCATCAAACAAATAATAATTCATTGCTGAGGTAAGCGCACTTAATCTTTAACCCATAAAAGATAAAACATTTTAAAAAGACTAGTGAAACCAAACATGTGTGATTATCAGTAAAACCCTAAAAGATTATTAGCTAAGAGCAAAAAGGCACATGATGCTAGATTAATTAATATATCTTCAATGCTGGAACTTTTGTATAACTTTAATA